GTCTTTTCTGGAAGGATGGAATTTGTGTCAGGCTAGAAATGTGGCCTAGTTGGTAGAATGTTCGTGCGGCATGCACATGGCGTGAGTTTGACCCAGCACCATATACTAGCGGGTGTGATGGCACACACCTGTAATCCCAACATTGGGAAGTAGAAGCAGGAGGATCAGAAATTCAAAGCCAGCCTGGGCTACATGAGATTCTGAAGCTAGTCAGTCATGGTCAATCCTTCCAGGAGCCATGGGAGGGAAGGCAGATGCCCTGAGTGCTGAGGCTGCTGGTCGGTCTGAAGGACCTTGCTCCTGGTGGCCCTGTTTCAGAGAGGAAGTTGCAGGGTCAGAGCTAAGAGGACCCATTGGAAAAGAGCTAAGGAGTCGTCCCTTAAAGAGTCCAAGCAGGAGCCTGCCGCACGCACAGCAGCCCCCGTCTGCGCTCTATGCGCTAGAACCCAGTTCGCGAGCTTCGGGCAAGGGGCTGGAGGTTGAGAATACAGACGCAGAGACAGACTGACACACAGACCTTCCAACACTGGTACAAAAGCCCCTCTTTAATAGCACCATGGAGGCTTAAATACCCTGCAGTCAACGGCCAACAGGTGATAATCCCATCCTCTGATCCTCTAAGCTAGGCACAGTTTCTAGTAACTTCAGTTAGAGGGTTCTAGGAGGGAAGAGCAGCTGAAGGCCAGGACTCATTAGTTCCGACATCTCCCCTCTAAATTTTTTATAAAACAGAAGACCCTCCTGTCTTAGGTCATCTCAAAAGAGTAAACCCTTACCCGTCTTTGGGAGGCCCCTTCCCTGTCTTAGGCGAGCCCTCTTCTGTAGAAGTTGCCCGTCTACGGAGGAGTCTTCATTGTTGGTGCAGTATTTGCAACCAAACCTTACTGACCAACAGACTCAGAAGGACTTGCTAAGTGACCATATGCTGCATTCTCATGGGTTGTCTGATCTCACACAGAATTCAGAGATGAATGCCCATGGCAACAGGCATTAAGATTGCCAGCAATAGGGTCCCCAGTTACCACTGGACCCAGCCTCCCATTTGGGCTATGGTATTCTACCAACCCTTTGGCTAAAACAGGGAACACAGGTATCAACAATCTGGTGTGCTAATTGTAACATTTCAAGGGCTATTCAAGTAACCATTGAGTTGTTTCACCACATAAGAGGCATTAGCAATATTAACAGATGTCATACAAATAGAATGATAAAGGTGTGAACAAGACATTTGTTGTACTAGCTATAAGTCCACCTGCTCCTACAATAGGGCAGTCTCTTGATTTAAATTCGAAAGTCTAGATTTAATGTGGACACTCAGGACATTCTGAGTCTGGAGAGCATCGTTGACTTGTCTCGCCTGTTTATCCACGGTGTCCGACACCAACGATGTTTGTGCCATTGTCAGTCCTGCAACCATGGCTGCAGCAGCAGACACAGTGATGACAGCAGTCACTGCAGCTGTCTCTCCCGAATCTCCTTTCTCTCGATACAGGGTCATCTCAGTCTGCTTAGTCTTTTTGGTAATTGGCAGTGGTATGATTTCTGGTACCTGAACCAACAAGGCAGCCCTGGAGTGGTCATCCCAGCAGTCGCTCAGGCCACAGTTTCTGAAAGAACAACCAAGAATATCTTTTCCCCCAAAGGTGCTATTCAATACTACAAAAAGGAAAAGAAAAAAGAAAGAAAACTAAAACACGGGATTTAATAGTGCCTGGGCTCTCAGAGAAATATTCCAAAAAAGAAAGATAGGAACTACACTCACTTGTATAGGATTCCTTTAAAGTAATATTCATAGTCCAAAAAATGTAACAAAGCATAAAGCATAATGTAACAAAGCATAAATGTAACAAAGGAAAAGGTCTGATTAATAGAAGCCTGTTCTATCGCCATATTGCTTAAAGCAGTTCCAGCAGTATAGTTTGAGGAATAGAAAGATGAATACAAAGAACTAGCTTGACTCACTGATCAATACAAGGGGGTTCCTTACCAGACTTCACACAGTGCTTTCCTCTTGATCGGGACTCACCAGGAGGCTCATCAAGAGAACGACAGGTGTCATTCTCAGGCTCATCACAGGATCCTTTCCCATCATTTTCCACAGCCCGAACATATCGCTCTGGTACCCAAATGGGCTTGTCCATTCCTGGAGGGAAAACACAAACAGCTCCTCTCACCCTAGCCAACAGGAGCATGGGCTTCTTCCATTGTCCTGTAAGAAGGTCTTTCCATCGTACCTATCCCAAGGACTGAGAACTTTGGGAATCAACACTAATTGTGTTATCCGCCAGCCTTGAGAAATTACCACCACCCCCTGTTGGACAGATGTCATAGCCTTAATCTCCTCTTGATAGTCTGCATCTACTATCCCAGGATGTATTTGGATCCCCTTTAAAAGGGTACTGCTTCTGCCTAATATAAATCCCATGGTACCCAATGGTAAAGGCCCATATACTCATGTAGGGAGTGCTTGCCTCTAAGCTAGGCACAGCTTCTAGTAATTTCAATTAAAAGGCTCTAGACAGGGAAGAGCAGCTGAAGGCCAGGACTCAATTAGTCCCAATAGGAGCCTAGAGCCTGTGTCAGCCAACTTCGGTAATAGGAGAGAGAATGTTTTAGGCTTTCCTGGCTATGGTCTCTGTCGGTACTACTCAACCCTCCACCAAGGCAGCACTGTCCCTCAGCAGATGTCTATGAGATGACTCAGTGAAACTTTGTTCACTAGAATTGGCAGCAGGCTAGATTTGGCCCTCTGACTCCAACTGTAGGAACTAACCTCTAGCCCCTAAACTGAGGTCCCCTGGACCAGAGCATCAGCGACACCCACAAACACTGAAAATGCCAGTCTTATCCCCATCCACCTCAGAAACTCCCATTTATCCCATCCCTTGAGCCCTCCCTCCCAGCCCAGACAGCGGGTCCTTGTAGAATTCTGTACTTGAACCATCCCTGAGGTTTCCATGCACGTCAGGGCTAGGAAGGTGTGTGGAGGGGGGCCCAGTCCTCTGTCAGCCTGTGAGGACCCCTGCCTCCCATCCTCCCCCATGGCCTGTAGTCCAGCTCTTTTATTTACTCTTCCCTCATGATGGGCCCCGGTGACCATTCCCAGCAGGCCTGTGCCTCCTGACCCTTAGCCCAACTCTGCACCGTGGTGGGCGCCCTCAAACACACACAGGTGGTTGGTGGGAAGAGTGGATGCTGAGGGGCTTCGGGGGGCTCAGGATCCCTTCATCTCGGGAGTTTTTGCATAATGAGCCAGGAGACCTCAGTATCAGCCACACCCCGGCTACCTAAAAACTAAGATCTGAAGTGAGCTTGTGTTCTGTTTCATCGTTCCAAATGAGGTTTTATAAAAATCCTCAGGGTCCCTCATCAGCCTCCTCACTCATGACAGCTCCACGCTGCTTCTGGTGTCTGTGCTGCTTCCAACAGGCATGCATGCACATCCCCTCACTCAGAGAAGACTTCATGAGTACCTCCAACAGGCCACGTTGGCCAGGCTTAAATAGTGTTTACAAGTGGTTTTGATTCTAAAGGAAAGGAAACATTGGGCAAACAAAAATGAAATGGGCTATTTAGCTAAGTGTCACCCGCCAATTTCAGGGGTCACTGTCACTCCCAAATATCGCTTTGCCTGTGGCAGTGGGGCCCTGTGAGTTTGAATCAGGGACCTTCATCTGGGCCCTTGGGAGGCCCGGGGCATGGCAGTTACTAAGACCTTTGGGAACTTCCACATAGATAAGATGGACAACCAGACCCGCTGCAGACAGATTGCTGAAACTGCCTGGCATCTGGGAGGGCACCCCTGAAGGTGGCAGCTGGGTGAAGGAGTTCTCAACATGAAGAGGGCTGTGGGGGGCGTGAGTGTGGTCTCTCAGCAGAAGGAAGAGGTGGCCCAAGTGTGTGAGCGCAGGCTCGGGTGAGAGCCGACAGGCACAGCACAACCTAGCAGCAACAGCATGGAAGGGAGGCACTTGACAAGGTGCCCTTTGAAATGATGCCCTGTGGCCAGGGGAGCCAGGGGAGCAGAGCTGAGAGGGATCCAGGAGCAGCTGGGAGCTGACCAGGGCTTTAGGCAAATGACTGGTGACTTTGCTCAAGGGTGGAAGTGGGAGACTCATGGACCAACGGAAGGACGAACAGACGGAAGGAGGATCTTGGCAATCATCCCCTTCTGCTGTGACAAACGACCACAAATTTAGTGGCTTCAAACAACGTGTGTCTTACATCAGGGTGCTGGAGGATCTGGCGCTCAGACATCGCGTGTCTTACATCAGGGTGCTGGAGGGTCTGGCGCCCAGGAGGGCGTAGCTAAGTGCAGCTTAGGGCTCATCAGGTGCTGGCCAGAGCCAGGAGTCATGGGAAGGCCCAACTGGTGAAGAACCAGCTTCCGAGCTCACAGGGTCATCTGAGAAGTCACCTCAGCCTCTGCCACAGGAACCTCTACCACGTGGCACCTTGCTTCATTAAGGCTGGTGGAGGAGCCACCAAGTCGCGCAGCAATGGGCAACAACCCATGCCATCCAGTGATGGGCAACAACCCATGCCATCCGGTGATGGGCAACAACCCATGCCATCCGGCGACAACCCATTTCCTCAGCCACGTTGTCCTGGTCAAGATCAAGTCACCGGGTCCAGCTGTGCCCAAGGGGAGGGCCCTGCACAAGGAGGGGAAATCCCAGGATCCAGGGGTCATTGAGGGCATAAACAAATTTCCTAAGTATTAGGGCGGCACAGGAAGCTGCTGTGGGGTGGATTTGGGAGCCAGAGAGACATAAAGTTCAGTTCCCGGGAGATGAGGACAGGAGAGGGGGCAGAGAAGCCACAGACCCTTGTACCTCATGTGAGCAGTGGGGCTGGGTCCTGGTGGAGGGACAGGATCCTCCACAGCAAGCCCATTTGATCGGTGGGGCAGTCTGTCTGAGGCAGCGTGAGTAGCTCGTATAGCCCAAGCCTGCTCAGTCTCTCTAACCATCACCTTTTGTCTTTTCATTTTCTTTCAGAATTTCCCCTCTGTGAAAAGGCAAGCTGGTCTGGATAAGTGAGGCCGGCCCCATGTATCCGGAATCAACCACGGGGTCCCCGGCTCGTCTCTCTCTGCGGCAGACAGGCTCCCCTGGGATGATCTACAGGTAACTCACCCATCCAGGCCTCCTCCTAGCTCTTCCTCTGAGGAGGAGTCTCTGAGGCAGCCACGCTCCCCTGGGGAAAGGATAAGGATTCAAGTGGGCCTCACAGAGTTGAGGTAGACAGGTCCCCAGAAAAAGAATGGAAGCTTTTGAAGCCTATATAGAGACTTTCTGGGTGGCACTGAACCAAAATAGATTTGTTTCTGGTCCCTGACCCTTGGAAACCTTATTCTGAGGCTACCTGAGCGACTTCATAGTGCCTGGAGCAGCCGCATTGCTTCCGTTTCTCCTGCAGTGCACATCACTGCACAGTGGACCCTAGTATCCCACCCGGCTCTTTAGGAGCTCGGGCATTTAAGGGGGCTTCTCTCAAGGAACTCAACAGGCATTTGGGGGACGGCACCTGCCCGTCTTAGAAAGGCCAGCTACAGCCGGAACTCCTATAGTATAATCTTGACCTCCTTGTGTGAGCCAACCTTTCTTAACCTCAGGCCTCCTGTAGTGGGCGCTGGTGAGAACCGCTGGCTACAGACCCAACATAGAGCCTGTATCACCGCCCTGAAAGACCATGACTGGATAGGACCCCAACAGCCGAAATATTCTGGGAATTCGGACCTTTCTAGATAACGGCTGGAGCCTGAGCCCTTACAAGTATCTGCGGAAACCAGTGTCTGCCCTGGAGAGGGCCTTAGAGTCTCAGGCCATCCTGTAAGGGTGTGTTTTGGAGCAATTCTAAATCAGATTGTAAAGCATGGTCTAAAGCTTATTAAAACCCAGGGGCCCACTCAGAGTCTGCTGTGGACCCATCCACGACCAGATCAGGCTGCAGACCTCTGCCTCGCTGGCCACTGGGTGGCGCTGCTGCAGAGCATTTGGTACCCGGCTTGTACATCTGACAGAGCTGGTCAGCTAGCCTGGATGGAGCCAGGGGGTGAATGCGTGGTGGGTGTGGGCTGCGGGATATCGGTGATGATGCTGAGCTTGCACCTGCCTGTGGTTGATGCCAACTGCGTACTATCGTCTCTCCTTTCTCCCCGCTTTCCTCCACCGCTATCTGAAGTACGCGATATGGGAGTCCCAAAAGGCAGCTCCAGTTTTACAGGTAATCTCCTCCTCCCCCTCCTCCTCTCAACCCTGAAGGCCAAAGGCAAAGGTGTGCTGGGGAGGGCTGTGCCCATCCCAAGCAGAGCAAGATGAAGGTTGGCACTGCCTCTAATGGCAGATTCCACCCATGTGTCTCGGTGCTAACCACGGAGCCTGTGCGGTATCCTGGTGAGAGCATGCGGTCAGGATAATTGCGTGTGTTCATCGACTGAAGTCGGCTTTGATTTGACCAAATGGACTTGATATGTATGTTTGTCTCTCGGTCACATGCACCATTAGGGCTTCACTTGCCACTTAGGCACCGTGCTCAGCAGTCGAACACTTGCCCGGTGTGTACAAGGCTGTGGGTTTCAGCCTCAGCATGCAAGGCATGAAAAGAAAAAGGACATTTTTCAGTGTATGGGCCACTTCCTATGGCCGTGGGTCTGTGCTTCCCCTACTGGAGGGAAGGATCTGTCTGTGCTTCCTGTCGCCCGCCGATTTGGGTTTGGATGGGCTGATAGAGAACCTGTGGCACCTTTAGCTGCTTCGAAGGCTTGTAACCTCCGTTGGGGATATGTGGTGCGATTTGGATAAAGGTTGGGGTCACTGTATCTCTTGGTAACGCTTCCCTGATGGAGAACTGGAAGCCAGGATGTGGTATCAAGACGCCCAGGCTCCTCTCAGGCCAGTCTGCCCCTCCCCCAGACCACCTCACCCTTACCTACAAAGCAAAGAACACACCCAGAAAACATTCCCTTCCGGGAAGCAAGGTTGCAAAGCTGCAGAAACCTCCAGGCAGTTGGCTTGGCTGCCTTGGGGCTGTGTCAGGAAGCTGGCCACCTTGGCAGTGGGGCTTTTCCTGCCAGCGTATCTTCACCTGTGAGGTTAAAGGTCACTGTCCCGATCTGGGGAGCACATCCCAGAGGCGGTACTGTGGGGTGTTGGGATGCACCAGAAGTCTAGACTACGTGTGCAGGGTCAGTGCTGGTTCCTCACGTCGTCGTTTCCTTCCCATGGCCTCGGGATAATGACCATGCCTGGGTTCATAGGCTAATTTGTGCCGTTGTCCCTAAGTCTCATTCCTTACAGGGAACTCTGGGAGATGAGACTCTGGTTTGACTGAAATATTGACTGGGAAAAACTTGGCCTGAGCTTGAGCCTAGAGACACTTGTATGACGTCTGTGTGGCGTATGAGGAGCGTATGGCATTTGTTCTCGAAGGAGCTGAGTAATAAAAACAAGCTTGTACCTTAACCCTATCCTCAAGAGAGCCTGCCCACCTCTGCCTGGTGAGAGGGGGCACAGAGAAATGGTCTGAGAAGGAGCCCCAGTAAAGAACCGGTGTAAGTAAAACTGTAGTGAGCCGTGCACAGCGCTGGCTGACCGAGGTGAAGCTGTAGTGAGCTGTGCACAGCGCTGGCTGACCGAGGTGAAGCTGTAGTGAGCTGTACACCACTCACTGACCGAAGTGAAGCTGTAGTGAGCTGTGCACAGCGCTGGCTGACCGAGGTGAAGCTGTAGTGAGCTGTGCACAGCGCTGGCTGACCGAGGTGAAGCTGTAGTGAGCCGTGCACAGCGCTGGCTGACCGAGGTGAAGCTGTAGTGAGCCGTGCACAGCGCTGGCTGACCGAGGTGAAGCTGTAGTGAGCCGTGCACAGCGCTGGCTGACCGAGGTGAAGCTGTAGTGAGCCGTGCACAGTGCTGGCTGACCGAGGTGAAGCTGTAGTGAGCTGTGCACAGTGCTGGCTGACCGAGGTGAAGCTGTAGTGAGCTGTGCACCACTGACTGACCAAGGTGAAGCTGTAGTGAGCTGTGCACAGCGCTGGCTGACCGAGGTGAAGCTGTAGTGAGCTGTGCACCACTGACTGACCGAGGTGAAGCTGTAGTGAGCCGTGCACAGCGCTGGCTGACCGAGGTGAAGCTGTAGTGAGCCGTGCACAGCGCTGGCTGACCGAGGTGAAGCTGTAGTGAGCCGTGCACAGCGCTGGCTGACCGAGGTGAAGCTGTAGTGAGCCGTGCACAGCGCTGGCTGACCGAGGTGAAGCTGTAGTGAGCTGTGCACCACTGACTGACCGAGGTGAAGCTGTAGTGAGCTGTGCACAGCGCTGGCTGACCGAGGTGAAGCTGTAGTGAGCTGTACACCACTCACTGACCGAAGTGAAGCTGTAGTGAGCCGTGCACAGCACTGGCTGACCGAGGTGAAGCTGTAGTGAGCTGTGCACAGCGCTGGCCGGCCCTCAGACCAGGAGCCCTGGGTCTTTCCTGTCCTTTAGATCTCCAGTGAAGTTTTTCCACATAAGCAGTCAGGCACCACCTCTGGTGGTGACCTCAGCGAGCTGGGATCTTGGTCATTGAACAGACAGGTGCCACTCACTGTGAGACACCTACATCAACACAGTGCTGGGCATGGCCATCACAGAATTTGTCACATGACTTAACAACGGCCCTTTGATGGCAGAAGTGTTTGTGACAGAGTACTCCATCTGTCCTGGCTACCAATTGAATAGCTCTCAGATCAGGTGTCATCAGGTGGTTAGCGTTTTTCCTGCTTGTGTGTGTGTGGGTTGACTAGAAGCGTCTTCTCCGAGCTGTGTAGTGGGCCTGTCTTGTCTACACGCTGCAGATGGGTCCACATGTTTGCCATCCTCCTTCCCCACTAGCCAGGGCCTATCCTCAGGACATTCTTCCATGGAGGAGGTGCCAGAGGAAAAGAGGGACTGTGCAGTCTCCTGCAGCTGGACTTCAGCAAATGCTGATGTTTCTGCTCAGGCTCCTACAGCCAGAGCAAGGATCTCGGAGAGGCCAAAGGGCAGAGAAATACATCTTCCGATGGGGGAGGCACCACAGAGCTCCTTTTTCTCCTTGCATTTTGCCTCAGTCTGGTGCTGGCCTCAGGGGACAATCCCAAAGCTTTACCTGAAGCCCAGGTCAGGAGATGTGCCAGGAAGGAAGCCTACAGTGCCCCTGCCAGAGGAATGGGCATTGTGTGCCCAAACAGATCCATACACCCACATTGGGTACATCCCAGAGGAGGGCAAGAACACCTCCATGTGCCTCTTCCCTGTGGCAGTGACCACACGCCACAGGCACCCTAGCTGTCTACTGAAGCCATGGTTTGGAGTGAGGTGGTCCAGAAGCCATGAGCCATGTGTCTGGCATTCAAATAATAGCTTAGGAAAGAGCTACCCGTGGCTCAGAAGATCCGTGCCTCTGATACAAAGGCAGCAGATGCAGCAAAGGCGAGACCAAGGGAGAGGGCAGGACCCCCACCTCATGCTGCACCCCAAGCATCCTGCCAGGTAGGGGCACTGCCAGGCTGCAGCTTGGCGCTGCACTTCCTGAGCTTTTAGGGGAGAGGCACTCGTGAATAATTCAGCCTCTTCCACAAGATGAAAACTCCCTAATAGAAGCTAATGGACTTGCTGCCTCCAAAGCCGACCCTTGTGGGACTCTCTCATTCACCAATTGCTTCTGACGTTCTACAGTGACACTCCCTAATGAAAGCACCACCGCACCCGCCGCTTCCTTAGCTCCCTAATAACTAGACTGTGGCCTTTTAAACAAGCAGCCACCCGGCGAGGCAGGTGAGTCGGACGAAGGGATGGATGTGGCAGCCACCATCTGAGGGTTGCTGTCTGGACGCAGGCATCCCCAGGAACTTACATGATAGAGCTGGGGTGATGTCTGGGACGGCTTCCGGCTGATCAGAAATCAGACCATCCACGTTTATTTTTCAAAGCAGGCAACCTTAAATAGCCCGTCAAGGTGCACTTGAGGTAACTGTGCTGGATGGAGGAGGGTGGGTGGGCTCCCACCTGGCTGCACCCACCACCCTGCAATCGATCCTGCTTGCTGCCCACCCTGTGCAGCGCTGGCCTGGCTCTCCTCCTGTCTGCCAGAGACCCGCCATCTAGCTTGTGCCTCGCTGGCATTACCCTTGATTAAGATTCGGCAGTCATGCCTTGGGCTCCCAGTGCCATCCGCGAGGTTTGTGGCTGTCTGAGAAGTTCATCTAGGAAGCCCGTGCCTGCAGGAGCCAGGGTGGCTTATTCAGGTCTCAGTTTGCTGGTGGTTCTTGAGCGTGTGCTGCGGGGATGCTGGGTATGCAGAGAGTTGCAGAGCCGCGCCTCGGAATGGCTTCCCTAGGTCTCCACTTCCGAGGCTTCCGGCTGGTCTCCGGCCTCAGGACGCAAGTTGGCATTTGATAGAGAGAAAGGGCTTTTTTCTGGCCCCTTGTCTGCTTCGGTGATTGTTGGTAGACAGACCCTAGGTCTGAAGCTCCAGGTAGAGGGTGAGCTGGGGAGAGAGGAGGCAGTTCCTGCTGACTTTAATGAGGTTAGCCTTCTTTCGTCTCACTTTTCCGTGTCACCCTGTTAATTTGAGTGGAGTCCCCTGAGCCCCCAGCCGACAGGAATAGATTTGCAGAGAAAACCTTCAAGTGAGCGGAATTAGCTGATCCTATTGGGGCGGGGAGGGAAGGTATCTGTTCTTCTAGAGACCTGGTGGGATACAGGGATAGAGTTCCAGAGAGCCTCGCTCTAGAAAGTGGTTGAAATGCTGCAGCTCAGAGGTCAGAGGTCACTGTACCCCCAAGCTCAGGCAGGAGGAGCCTTGGAAGTGGGCTTCCTTCCTCACCACTGTCTCACCTGGAACCTTTCATATTCACCCCGAAGAAAAGTCCAGGGTACAGCCCCAGCATGAGGAGTCCAGAGTGGTAAATGCTGTCTGTCTGCACTTAGATGCCAGAGCCCAGGAACCATCTACACATATCTATATAATCCTCCTCCTCTGGGTGGCCCCAGCTCCTTCCCAGAGTTAATATCCTCTGCATGCACACACACACACACGCACACACGCACGCACGCACACACACAGACACACACAGACAGGGATTATGGACCCTCTTGCTGGGCCGCCACCCTCTCTGAGTTCTCTTTAGATTGCTGGTTATTTGCTTGTAACAGAAGACTCTGGGTCACCCCCATGCCCCAGACCTTGCATTCTCTCAGTGGTGGC